TACAAGAAAGTTTAAAATGCACTAGGTGAGGGTAACCTCATGTGCACAGCCCATTGCCTCAAAAAGCTGAATGCTCCTGCAAATTTGACATAATCCAATTATGTTGATTTCCTCAGTGACATTTCTGCAGGCTTATATACAGAAGGACAGGGAAACTGAGATCTATAATGATAGCTATTTCTAGCAAAGGTAATTTCTTTATTGGTGAACAACCTGTCCTTAGTCATGCTGATGACAAGGTGTTGAAGGATAAGGGAGAGAGGCTGTATAGCTTTAAATCTTAACAGGGAGTAACATAAATAGAGCATATATCATCTTTCTACTTGGACCAGGAGGCTTGCAATCCACCACCATCAGGCCAAAGCCAGGGAGCAGGAGTCAAAATCCAGGAAAAAATAATCAGGATCTCTGTGGAGATTGTGAGGGAGGCTGGATATTTCAGTATTACCATAGTGGAGGAGAAAGGGCAGCCACAGAGCATGAGCATGTATTTTTGGATAGTAAGGGTGTCCTTGGTGGAACTAGCTGCTTATTAAGAACCAGGTCAGGTTGCTCTGGGGACTCCCTGGTCGGCCCCGCCAACTTCCCAATCTGAGCAGCTCACAACATCCTGCTCTGTGCCATTTCCAGAACAACACAGATGAGGGCATGCTCACATATACACACTTCCTCAGCCGTCCTCCTTAGGCAAGGAAGGCAGCAGTTTTGACAGGAATATAGTGTAAATAAATTGTATCTTTGTGGTTTAATCCCAGACAGCAGCTAAATGCTACACAGCCACTCACTCACTCCCCCTGGGGTGGAATGGGGGAGGGAATCAGAAGAGTAAAAAAAAAAAAGTGAGAAAACTTGTGGGTTAAGATAAAGACAGTTTAATAAGTAAAGCAAAAACTGCACACACAAGCAAAGCAAAACAAGGAATTAATTCCCCACTTCCCATCAGCAGGCAGGTGCTCAGCCATCCCCAGGAAAGCAGGGGTCCATCACGTGTAACGGTGACTTGGGAAGACAAATCCCACAACTCTGAACGTCCCCTCTTACTCCTTCTTTACTCCACGTTTATATGCTGAGGATGATGTCATGTGGTCTGGGATATCCCGGGGGTCAGTTGGGGTCAGCTGTCCCAGCTGTGTCCCCTCCCAGCTCCTTGTGCACCCCCAGCCCTCTCACTGGTGGGATGGGTGAGAAGCCAAAAGAAAGGCCTTGGCTCTGTGCAAGCACTGCCCTGTGTTAGCAACAGTTTTCAGCACAAATTAAGAATATAACCCCATAGTAGCTACTATGAAGAAAATTAACTTTATCCCAGCTAAAACTAGTACAGATTATATGTCTTTAAATAATAAAAGAGCGTCTGCCTATTCATCACATGACAATTTTTCCTGCTTGCAGAAGAGAAGGTCTTTGTCACCATATATAAAATGTTGCATCTTTTTTTTTTCATAACCAGGAGGACCCTTCTGGCAGTCATGTGAGAGTTGTTCACTGGGCACTTTGGTGTAACTAGCTGTGCTTGTTTTCACCATCAAGCTCATAATAGTCGATAAAGTAAAAATGTGACTGTTTCCTTAAATTTTGTTTCAGATCCTGAACCATGCTCTGTGGCTGAGTTATGGTTTCTGTTGGATCACTGGCACAAATCAGGCTTATGGCCGGCAAGACCAGCCATGAGATCTTTTCAATATGGCAATGAAGTCAATGTGGGGGTTCCTCGCTGATCCATTAGAGCACTCTGACCAGGGGAAGGGGTATGGGGATCTTCACCTGTGCCCTTGCTAATCCCTTTTTGCCAGTTATTGGTTCCTTTGGGCTGCAAGCTGCCAACAGAAGTCACAAGGGCTTTTCAGTTGGGTCTGGTCTAGGACTCAGGCCAGTAACCTGAGAACACTGTGGTGGCTTCTAGCTTCTGACCTGCAGCTGAAGATCTTGCCCTTCTTCCCAGAGTAATTGCTCACCCTCTTTGAAATCTCCGAAAGCTTTCCACAAAAATTGCAAGAGTTGAGGCTTGCTACTTTTAAAAACAGTAAAATAAACACATAATCTGTAGGATAATTGCCTATGTTACAATTCCCCCCATGCAACAAAGGAAAAAGAAGCCTTATGCTGTGTACTTCTTAGGCCTTGTGTAACTTGATTCCGAGAGCTATGAAGGAACTGGAAAATGTTAATAAATAATGATGTTTGAAACACAAGTCACTGAACAAACCACCAGACCTTATTTTATCCTGTTTATTGCACAGGACAGAAAACGTCTATCTCAGTTTGAGGAAAATAAAATCTTAGACAAAATTATGTCTTAGGAATTAGCCTGAATGCTGCATGGTACTCAGAAGATAAATCAGAGAAGCTTACAGATTAACTGTTGGTAATATATAAAGAATAATGACAACTTTTGAAATAAAATCAGTACAACTGACTACTTAGCATTTCCCTGGTAGGACAAACCAAGGATCTCCTCAGGGCCACTGGAATTTTAAATTGCCTTGTTTGATCCACTTTACAGCTGCCAGATTTCCATCTGGTATTTTCCAAGTCAGAACCAAGCATATGTGTGCTCCAGAAAGCGTGCTCTCAGTCTGATGTGTTCTGGAAATCCTGGCCTCATTTTCCAAATCCTAAGCAGGTGATCTGCACTTAAAAAACCACTAATGTCTCCCTCAAGTGTGTTGGAATTATCTGTGTGTGCAGACCAGCTGCAAAACTGGGACAGAAATCTTAGGCAAATGTGCAAAATCTTCAAACTGTAACTTCAAAAATATTCAGGAAAAAGAACATTTCTGAGAAAATCTGTATGAGTAGTACAACTGTCTTTCACATTCCAGTGTAACGTTTTAAGAAGGAAAATCACTGCCTCTTCCAGGCAGCTCCAAATAGGTAGGAAATGCATGCCCTCTGGCAGCTTGGGTAAGTAAATCTGTCTTGAGAGAAGGCAAAGGAATGAAGACTAAGACATTATAAGCCAAGGGCTGACCTTCTTAATAGCCCAAATATTCACCCTCTCCAAAATAACTTAGTTCAGCTTAGGCCCACGGCTGTTCCCACAGTCATTCTTTCTCTCCCTCCAGTCACTGAATGCTGGCAGCCTCTGCGATATGCTGGCACAGAGAGAGGCATTTTAGGGAAGAGGAGGAAAAGACTGTGGGATAAGGAGCTTCCCAGTCCATGGGTCAGGCTTGGACTCCATTTGGTTTGTCATGGGAAAGAACACAGAGGACGAGCACAAAGCCACTCAGCTTCAATTGCACAGCTGCTTGCAGACCTCCACTACATTATCTTTCTAATTTCCCCAGGCTTCCACTTGATAGCTGGTTTAGTTTATTTGGCTGTCTGGGAGGTTTCGATTAGCTCCCACAGCATCTTGCACAAACACGTTGTCCTAACTCTGGAATCCACTTGTTGCAAACAGTGCTTTGGGCTCTAAGGTATAAGGAGGGGCTTTGGAAGGTAAGTGGGCAAAGGGCTGCGTGGCATTTTCTCTCTGAACTAGAATAAACAATCATTTAATTTTAGATTAATGCTGGAACCAAGGGTTTACATCTGGCTCCTGACACCCCCTCAATGGCAGGGAATGGGAGAAGTGTTCAGCCAGCGTGGTTATTCCCCGTCCGCCTCCCACAGGGATCACCCCCCTCACTGCTCCCTTCTCTCCTGCAGATAATGTAACATAAAACTGCGCACAACACCCGAAGCCCAGTGTTTGGGTGAAGTTCACTGAGCATATCATCAAGTGAAATCGGCAAAGAAATCTCGCCCGGCCTGCGTTCCTTCACCTCGCCTTTCCTTTCCGACAACTTCTCCAGCGCACCTCCAGGACCAGGGCCTGCGCTGCAGGCTTCGGGTCAGGCTCGGCGATGGACCGACACCTCCTCAGGGCCGGGCCCCGGCCCCCTTAATGTCCCCTCGCGGAGGTTTTCCCTCCCCGCGCTTCTATCCGCCTCCCGCGGCCGCACCCTTCCTTCAGCGCCCCGCGCCCACCTGAAAGGAGGCGTCCGGGACTCCCCCCGCCCCGTCCCTCCACCAGCGCCCCGCGCCGTTCCCTCCGGCCCGGGAACGGCCCTTCCCGG